CCCTCTCTTGCAGCCAGAGCCGTGACGGGCGATTTGCTTGAGTGGAATTTGAGGGTTTGTGAGCTGTCGCTGCAGTCGGCTTTGAATACGCGCGTTCCCTCTGCTAGCAGACAGCTGCTGCTGAGCTGCTGCTGCTGCTGCTGCTGCTGCAGCTGCTGCTGCAGCTGCTGCTGTTTACGTTTGGTGCCGCGCTCCAGCGCAGCCTCAAAGCTCTTCCCCTCTCCCTCCTCTTCTCCATCCAACTCTGCTTCTTCCTCTGCATCGTTGCTGCTGCTGCTGCTGCTGTTGTTGCTGCTGCTGCGTTGCTTCTGTGGGAGGAAGCAGCAACACTGCACGGGCCCATTCAAGCTGCCTATACACTCCAAACTAAACGAATGCTGCAGCCGGCGGGACCCTACTAGCGGCCCCCCGCAGCACAGGGGATCTGCTGCTGCTGCTGCTGCTGCTGCTCCTGCTGAGCTTATCACCAGCGGCTGGTACCGCCCGCCTGCAGACCGAGGCATCGTCGCCTGCTGCTGCTGCTGCTGCTGCTGCTGCTATTTCTGCTGCTGCTCCTGCTGCTACTCCTACTACTGCTACTGCTATCAATGCTGGTGGTGGTGGTGGTGCTGCTGCTGCTGCTGCTTCTGCTGCTGTTCATGCTGCTGTTCATGCTGCTGTTGGTGCTGCTGTTGCTGCTGCTGCTCCTTCTGTTGCCGCTTCTCCGCACATCGGCGGTTGTTCTGCTGCTGCTGTTGCTGCCGTTGCTGCTGTTGCTGCTGCTGCTGCTGCTGTTTCTGCTGCTACTATCTGTGGCTGCTGCTGCTGCTACTGCTGCTGCTGCTTATGCGGGTCCTTCCCTCGAGGCGCTGCAGTCCTCGCAGCGGCAGCTGCAGCAGCCCGATCGGTAAACCCTAAACCCTAAACCCTAAACCCTCAACTCTAAACCCTCTACTATGAAGTTTCAGTAATTTTAAAACTGCGAAGGCCGAGATAACGCCAACAAAAACCCTCAACCAGAGAAGAGTGTGGGGCGGACTCAACGCATGCAGCAGCAGCAGCAGCAGCAGCAGCAGCAACTGCAGCAGCAGCAGCAGCAGCAAGAGCAGTGTCTTCTACGCTCTCATTGAAATTTCATTGCATTTATTTTGTATTTTTTTTATTTAATTTCCGAGTCTTTACAGCCAAGGGCAGCGGCTTGTGTTGCTGCTGTTTGCTGCCGTTGCTGCCGTTGCTGCTGCTGCTGCTGCTGCTGCAGC